AAAATAATTTAAAAGGAACGTATCCTAATCATTACACGAACGTGACAAATTTTTGTCGTGCTTGAATCAAATTGAATGAAAAGACTTACTAATATTATTTTATACTAGCTGTTCGCCGCGATTTCATTCGCGTGGAATTTATTGCAATTGGATTTCATGTTTTTTACGCGGAAAACTAACTCTTTTTCTCAAATAAAAGTCGCCTAAATTACTCCTTATAACATCCGCTATCTACCAATCAAAAGCCCCGTCGAAATCATTCCAGCCATTTTGGGGAACAAATAGACAGACATACAAAATTTTAAAAATTATTTTTTTGTTATGCCCACCTAGAACTTACTTTCATTTCCCAATATCTAGTTTTACCTAATTAAGTTCATTGAAATTAGTTTTATAGCTTTAGTAATACGACCTTGACCTTAATCACCGTGACCAATTCATCAAATGACAGTCGCAAAATATGAGATTGGTGGTTTTTATAAAACAGTATTTTCCACCTGATGTTCCTAAACATTAGCAAACGTAAACTCTCATACCTGTCACACAACATATTAATATTGAAATATTGTTGTCAAATGTGGTCTTCCGCTTACAAAAACCACATTTAAAGAATCGATCGTGTTAAAAAGAGACTCATTGAACACCTAATCGTCCGTTTTAAGGCTTCAAGTCATAGTAAGTGCTACAAAGAGAAACTCGATTATTTTAGGATGAAACCGCTGGCAGTTCGTAGATCTTTTCTGATATCTGATTTGATATCTTTTCTGATATGAAATTTTCTTCATAAAGTTTTCAATATAGCAATTTAAGTTTCCGATTTACCAACGGCGATGATGGAAAAATTTGTTAATACATTTCGATAATATAATAATAATAATGTCCTCCAGACCGAATTTCGGTCACGACGGCCAGTCTCAACTGAGACTAGCCACCTACGCAGGACAGGATTAGTGTCCAAGTGTATGCGCAAGCACTCTCTAATCCCTCACTCTTATAGTCCGATGGGACAGTAATCCGACACGACCAGAGAGATTAGATGCAGGACCAACGTCTAACCTTGCGTGCATTCCGAGGCACGGGGGTAAAACATCGCCAACCTCCTCACTCCGAGCTGCTTCTGAGCAGTTCTTGGCAAGAAAACCCTGTAACTGATTTTGGCTCGACCAGGGATTTGAATCCGAAACCTCATAAAAGGCAATCGCGTTTACGACCAGTAGACTAATGAGGCAATCATTGATCTACTCGTCGTAAATATAAAATAAAAAAAAAAGTAAAAATAAAATGCTATGATTACTTATGACGTACGACGGCGACGTTATGACGTATTTACGGATCAAACAAAAAAAATCTTTTGATGTTTAACATATTTGTATTAGCTTAGAATTTGTCGACACATGAAACGATATATAAAGAAGAAGTAACATTAACAACATCTGTATTGGTTTTGATTTTTGTTTCAAAAGATACTACCTACGGCGAAAACATCCTTTGAGTGAATTGCTTCATCAGTTTATCTTTTCTTATTGGACAAAACTCCATTTGCTTCTTGTGATTGTAATTATTGATGAAGTACAACAAATATATATGGAAAACATATTTATTAATATGATTGAATGACAAACAATAAAAAACACGTCCAAATAATCTTTTCATAAAAAGTACAACCGACTCTAAAAGGTAACAACTAGAATGTCGTCTAAATTGTTTTTACTGCCTGAGGGCGATGGATGGATTTTTTTTTAAATTTGTATTAGACCATCCCCGAAAAATAACCTATGTTACCATACCACCGTTATACGGCATAGTATTATTATACACATTAAAATAAAAGTGTACAAAATAATTTTACTGATTTAACTTAAAAGCTTATACGCTTGTGTAGAGGCAGCGTATTAGAATTCGCTATCTTTTATCGTCCCATGAATGTCGTGAGAGTCGACATAGAGAAATCAAACAGGAGATGCACAACAGCACCTTTCCAGAAAGAGCACAAATAATAAATAAATACGGTTGCCAACCGCACCAAGTGTAGTAATTATGGCAAGTATTCCCCATACGAAGCAGTCTTATGCACATTCGAATGACTTATTCGAACCCTACACTCTCTAAGTAAACCTTTTCCTTTATTTTTAGACTTTTCTGAAATCTTTTCAATGGTTATTCTTTTATGGTATGACTCATTAAAAGAAATATAATTAAAAGATCAAATTGGTCACTGTAATTACAAATGTAAATTTAGGTAGTAGAGCCATGTTGCAGATTTATTATGGTTCCAGCACGAATGTCGGCTCGACCGGTGAAGGACCACGCTCTTACAGAATACCACCATATATAGCAGGTTATTGCAGTTGTGTTTTGCATGGTGAGTGTAGATAACCAGAGACCCTTTTTACTGGATACGGAGCATTCCATTTTAGTCTCAGAGTGTCTACGCAACTGTATTTTAATTACCATCAGACAGACTTACCATCACATACACGTGGTAGAGCCATGCTGCAGCTATATATTAATTGTATAGTTGTAGCATGAATCGACCGGAGAAGGACTACGCTCTCACAGAATATCAACGTAAAATGGCAGCTTGACACTGCTGTGTTTCGTATGGTGAGTGTAGAGAACCGGAGACCCATTTTGCTGGAAAAGAGGCATTCCATCTTAGTCCTCATGGGTGACGACGCATCTACAGTTTTGATTCTTTATTGAAGATAAATGCAGATGTCTATCATAGCAATTAACATCAAGAGGATTGTGTACTCGTTCGTCACCGTATCCTATAAAAAAATATAGTGAATATTATGGCGAAGTTGTTTTTAACAAAAAATGGTATGATTGAATATTTATTTTATTTTTTAGAGGCTTCTACTGAGAATATCGATATAATTATGTTATTTATTTCTTTTATTTATGAAATTCGAGTGTTTCTATGTCCTTGTTTCTTTCTTCATAGTAGTTATTTAACTATAACCTATAGATATTGTTTAGGCCAAACAATTAACATTTGAAATTTGCATTCAACACTCGTGTCCTCCCGCTGACTTTGTAAAGGTCACCGTCGCCCTACTCCCGTGTGGGTCGCTCGGCAGAGGGCGCGAGCGCAGGAGGCGAGTGCAAAGTCAGTAGCTTGACAGCAACGGCGCTGTCGACTAGCGTATTTTTTTGTGACAGCTGCATCGGTTTCGCGCGGCCAGTTTTTGGTTTTGTGGTCTAGAATTTGATTATTTGTGCGCGCTTAATTTACTATTGAATTTGGGTTTCGTGTAGACTGCCTCGAATTAGTTTGTCTAAGTTGTTCGTTTCGTGACAAAAGGCTTGTATTGAATTTGACTGATTAAAGTAATTTCGTTTGCAATTAATTACGTCAATTGTATTGCAATATTTAACTTGCTTGTGTGACGTGGAACCTTACGCGCATGCCGAGTGGACATACGGTCTGGAATTTGATGCTCGCATTCCATTTCGAGGGCGTGGCCCGGTTAATTGTTTTTGGAAGTTATTGTTGAACTGTACCGTCGCTTTAAGTACCTTTTGTGTGTTGACTATGTAGTAGTTTTGCGTGTCAGCGAGGCTTATTTTGAGTTCTTATTGCGGGCGTGGTATTTTTGGTATCGTACGAAGGGATTTAGTTTGTTGTTTGAAACGCTGAACTTTGTGACTCGAGAAGAGATCGCGTTCGTTCCCTGTTTGTAAATTGGTGCTAAATGAACCCGGATTATTGAATATTGAACTTTGAACGACTGTTCGTTACTTGTGTCGGGTGTCACGTGTTTGATTTCGATGAACGTTGAATTTATTTGAGTTTAAAGGTAATTAAATGTACAATAAAGTTGATGGATTGAAATAGTGTACAATAAAGTGGATAAACTGAAATAGTGAAATGAAGGCAGAAATTTTCCATAGGTGATCCACGACTGGAGGGACTGGAGGGAGCGCATATTGGGGGAACATCAGCTCCGGTGGATTTTCTGTCCGATTAAATCGGGCCGTCAGGTCACATATATAAACACTACTACACACTACTTACATGTACCTACTTACCGCCTGACCAAACCTTGGGGTCAGTCTTAGCTTTGGAACCAGGTAAGTTCTTATTGATTACCTAGCCTTATATCTATTGTGTAGAAAAATAAGTCTCTATAGGCCGTTGGGCCCCACCCTTAGTTGTCCGTCGAATCTACAGCTGTATGGGCCCTGTATGGTTGACCTTTGTCAGGGAAGCTATGGGCGTGTTCAGATATTGAATTTAACATATGGGGATTCATTAGATTTACCTCAGTTGTTGAAGTGACATATAATATTTGAATTTTTTTCTTTTCAGTAAATTTGTTTCGTTTTGTTATTTATTACTGTTTTAACCATTGAGCTTATTTATGCAACTTTTGTGTAACAAATTGTTTGATGTTGATGTTTGATGACTTTTTTACATAGAAAAATATTTTTTCAAATACTTAAATTACCCCCTCCCTCTCCTTATAATTTTATCGACAAATCGTCTTGCAATCTTCGTTACTCTAGCGCTCACTTGACCTCCATACAGATAATTAGATATTTTAATTGTTGATAATTTTTTATTTTCGGACGAAAACATAGTAATGACTCTTAAATTGTATTTGCTACAATTTAAAAAAATGTCTTTGGCCTGACCATAGTTTTGACTAACTTTGTCTAATAAAATGTCGAGGCCTGAGAGGTTAAGAAGTAAAACAAATCAATTCACGTAAGAATAATCAAAATCGGCGCTTGGTCCCTAGAGCGCCACAAAGGCACATAGATACATAAGTATATACATACATACATATATAGGCTGATAAACATTATCGTCCGCAGTCGCATAAATAGATGTGAAAGTAGGTTGTTTAGTAGGCAATATTAAATTATCTACGTTCCGTACATTATCAATACAAACTATATATTATCTACGTCCCATTTTACCACTAGTATTTAATCTACAATGATCAAAATAAAACATTTAATAAGTTGGTGAATGAAAGAATAGTACTCACGTGATCGTTGCCGAAGGGTTGGCGTGGACGAGACACGGCAATATCACGTCGCCTCCGCGCCGCACGTGCGCTTCCCACGTCCCGTGGTATATCGAGCGTGGTGCGGACGCAACGCTCATAGCTAAAAAGATCCATTTCAACATTACTCACATAGTAAAGCAAATAAACATTAAAAAAGATAAGTGAGTGTTTGTGGAATGTGACAATTTATTCTCTAAATGCTACCACCTTACACCTTACCAATTGTGAACCCTGTTAACTAACCAAGTATTTACTAACGAACTAGCTCACTAACTAATTAATTTACTAACTAATCGACAAATGGTGGATATCAAAAATCAGAGTTAACACAGTTTACACAAAAACCTCAATTCTGGGAAGTAATATTGAGAAATCAAGCAGGAACGTTATTTTCCAAGTAATAGTACCTATAGTATAATAATGGAATTTAATAAAATAAAAAACATTTATAAACAACTTGGTAGCTATCAACTCAAAAACCTTACAGTCTACCTTCCAGGGATGATTATCAATAATCTATCTATTTACCCGTCTGTACAGGCTTAGTAATTTATTTATGGAGCAAGGTATAATTACGTTCTCGTAACAAAATCCCATAAAATTTTCAATGCTTATCAAGCATCAAGTTTAAAAGTTCATTAAAACAAAAACTATAAAAGGGTTAAAATCTACTTTATTATAATAGGTTCCTTAATATAATAATAAGGTATCCAGGTATTTATATAGATGAATATAACTCCTGGGAATGAAGGGTGTGCTACCAAGCTATTTCTACAATAATTTAAACAAAAAATTATTGCAAACTTTAAAATTTAAAAATAGGCCGCTAGGTTTCTTGTTGTTGTTCCAGGACAGACGTGTTTTCCAATCCAGTGAACACATGAAAACATGAAATTGAATAAGTTATATACAATCATCTATATTGAATAAAATATTCTATTCATTTATAATTTATACTATTTTCTAAAATATTTTTTTCAATATTGGCTATAGACTGACTTTGTATACTTTTTGTATAGCTTTTTGCAATGGTCTTTGCAAAACGTATATCGGTATTACTAGCTTGTTAGTTTATTCTATTTAATAAATTTGAAAAAAATTTAAATGAAAAAAAAAAAAAACTACCACTTGTAATTCGATATCTCGAGTAAAGTTTTCTAAACATCTGATATTAATTGGCTTATTTACTTAAAATTAAGCAAAACCCACAGGTGAGTTCGGTTGGAGTATTTGGATGGGGTGTTATACTCGTACCTCCAGTTTATTTGTCAATACCTAAACTAAATATTACTGTGGCATGTTGCGTTAGCTGCCGTCTCAGTCACTTTGTACGGGGTAATGTATTCAAAACATGACTGGCGGCGCGGCGGTGTAAGAAAATTTGTCGTAATTGTATGCGAAATGTTAAACTTTTTTGAAAATTCCAGATTTATCCCACTGTGGAATATCTTGCTATCATCACGTTATCAAATGAATATTTATTTGCTGTCAACCTGATGTTTATGAATATTCACGTCGGAAAATTTAAATTCTCTATTGACCGAGAATTGTTTTGAAGATCCCATTTTTCAACGTGGTTTGCTTGGGTACGACCAGCTTTAGATATGATTCACTTTCTATAGCGTTTGATTAGTTTACATTGTAAATGACTAGTTTTTCTAACTGTGTTTAGATTCACCTTATAATATAACTTTATTTTATAAAGAGTTACTTACGAGCGACGTCTATGTTGACGGGAGTACTTCTTCTTCTCTCTCCTGTCAGAGAGTCGAGGACGGAGCAGGAGTACTGCGCGCGGGAGTCGTCCACGCGAACAGAACGTACAACCAGTCTCCAGCCTTCATCCACTAACAGGGTGGGGCCAGCTGTATGAAAATCAAAGTAATTTAAAGTCAGTCTATATTTTTATTTACTATCATCATCATCATTACACCTTTCATAAGACCACTGCTGATCGCCCTCAAGAAATGCCAAAAAGCATGTTCTTGAGCCCATGAAATTCTTGAGTATCTATCAACTTCCTGAATGTCTTACCAGGTCATCACTCCATCTAATCGCCCTACATTTAGATTTTTAATCAAAACATTAAATAAAAACAACATAAAAAAAATTATGAAAAACGGTTGATGATTGTTGACCCTGCAGGTCATCCCTGCAACTTTCCACTTATTTTCAAGTGTAACACTCGAAAATCTTTTTCATTTTCTGCCGACTTCCAAAAAGGAGACGGTACTCAATTCGACAGTATGTTTTTTTTTATATGTGTTACCTCATAACTTTGTACTGGGTGAACCAATTTCGAAGATTCTTTTTTTATATGAAAGCTGATACTGCTCGTGTGGTCCCATAATGAATTTGATCAACATCAGACCCATAGTTTTTGAGTCATTCTTAAATAACTTATATTGAAGTCGGCTGTACAAAATTTTTAATTTTAAATTATAGTTGAAAATCTTTGTAACGGACATCGACCGATTGACTTGAAAATAAAATCAACTCGAATCCTCAGTTAACACTTTCGAACGCTGTGTCGCCCATATCGATCGGTTGATTCGTTGTAAACATATCGTACGACAAAATTTTAATATCATACGACACAAACCCACATGAACATGCACATCCACTCGCCCATGTACACGCACGCACACGCACACGCACACACACACACACACACACACACAAACACACGCACAAACACACACACAAACACACGCACACACACACATACACATACACACACACACATACACACACACACATACACACACACACACACACACACACACACACACACACACACACACACACACACGCTGGACACCCAGCCGTGTGTAGGACTGCTACCTATGACCTCAAAATGTGGAAATCTGATGGAAACTAGCATTCTCAAAATCGGACAGATATCTAAAACTTCCTACTTTTAAAAATTATTAATTTTCAAAGCGGTAAGTTAATAAAGTTATTACACGATTTAGTAGAGCTATGCTCAACTGAGTATCCTCAATCGGAGAAGAGCAACACTCACGCAGAACACCATAATGAAATAACATGTATTGTGAGTGACAAACAGTATTCTTCCTCATTGGTTGTCAGATGCTGTTACATGATGTATACAGTGTATACTAATAACATACTAGGACATAATGATTTCATATATTTACACTTATAGTAGACATTGAAAAAAAAACTGATTTTACGAATTTTATCATGTTTAATAGCAGCGAACAGACGTGACGTGCTGCAAAGCACCCACAACGTCAGGAATAAAAAAGAAGTTAAATTTAACACAATAATATTTGTAAAATTTGTTCTATTCAAGACACTAGGACAAAAAACTGGATCCACAGTAGCTGAGTTATGGCGCGGTGGCCCCCGGATTTATTTTTCTTAAAAAAAACGTTCCCCCCACACTAGGATTCTCTCCAGTATCGTGGAGGCAGTTTAAAAACACAAATTTCACAAGGACAAACATCCAGACCCGGAATAATCATTTGTAGGCCATACAAATACTTGTTCCGTGCGGAACCAAGCGCAGTAACTCATTGCTAGGCCAATGCGCCGCGGATCCGTCTATTTAGCCGTTTATTTATTCTTTATTGCATTATGTACTTAAAACAAAATAACACAAAGGGCAGACTAAGTGCTTTGAGGCATTCTCTACCAGTCAACCCATGGAGTGGTGAGAATTTGACGAGGACTCAAATCTCTAAAGAATCAAGTGTGTTATAGACACAAATAATTATTTCCGATCAGGATATTTGCCCATTTGGCGTCTATTTGCTTATTTACTTAACAATATTTGTACACACAATTTACTGTAACAAACTAAAAATATATATTTTTAAAGGCACTGCTTATTTTATATTGAAATTTCTTCTAGCAAGCCTGATACTGCACAGACCAAAGAGAAGCGAACTTACAGAGGTGGTCGCCTGGGGCCAGCACCGCATCGTCTCGGTACCACGCGGCTACCGATGCGTGGTCTCGAACCGCTGACGGCGCTACGCAAGTTAGAAGCGCTGGACCGCCTACTTCTGCTGAAGTCGATGTAACGTGGACTTGCCAGTCCTGCCACACCACTGTTGACAAATAATTTTTTATTAAAATCGATTACTTATATAGATATTAATTAATTTTTACGTGGTAGAGCCACGCACATATGTCTCCTACGTTGATTACCTCATAAGGGTATTTGATGTTGTTACAACGCTTGAAAGGTGCGTCGTCAACTGAGTCCTTTTTATTATGTTTAGTTTTTTTAATAGGATAGGGTGACAAACGAGCACACAGTCCACCTGATGGTAAGTGGTTGCTGTGGCCCATAGACATCTACATCTATCCTCGTTTGCGAAACAAAATGCAGATGCGTTGTCACCCGTAAAGACTAAGATGGAATGCCTCTTTTCCAGTAAAAAGAGTCTCCGGTTCTCTACTCTCACCATACGAAACAAAGTAGTGTTAAGCTGATATTTTACGTTGGTATTCTGTGACTGCGTGGTCTTTCCCCGGTCGAGCCGACCCATTCGTGCTGCAACTATACTACTAATATAGCTGCAGCATGGCTCTACCACGTACAATAGAATGTCATGTGTGTTATCTAGAATGACACTTTTTACTACATCCACGGAACGATATGGTGTTGTATGTAGTGGATCCATGCTGCAGCTATATTAAGATTGTAGTACGAACGGGTTGATCGAGGAAGGATCACGCCCTCACAGAATACCAGCGTAAAATAGCAGTTTAATTCTAATGTGTTTCGCATTGTGACTGTACAGAACCGTAAACCCTTTTGATTGGAAACGAGGCATTCAAAATGTAGATAAAAACACACACATATGACAATGGATAATTGTGTGAATTGTCGTCGATAACTTATAATATACAAACAAAAAACAAACAGTCGAATGAAATTGTAAGCCTTATTCTTTTTTAAAGACGACTAAAAATAAATTTAGTGCGAAATAGTGTAATGAATTATCATATTAAACATTTCGCGTTTTGTAATTAGCATAATACTGTTATTATTCCCAAGTTATTAGGTATGCAGTATTCCAGTGAGCACGGAACAGTGGGAGAAACTCACTTGTATTTCAAAACAGGAACAATTCTGATTTACTCATAATAATATATTCTACGCAAATTGTCTTAATTCCACCGCGGAAAGACTGCTTTACATCCGTCGACGAAACGTAGGTGTATATAAACCGGGTTAAATGTGTTTTAAGGGAGATATCAGTTATAACTTTGTATATAAAGAAATAGGGCTAAAGATCTGTATCTATTGATACTAAATTTTTTGACTACCTTTAATTATTTATGTATGTGCGCGCGCCTACACACGGCTGGGTATCCAACGGCGTGCACACACACGTGTGTGTGTGTGTGTGTGTGTATGTGTGTGTATGTGTGTGTGTGTGTGTGTGTGTGTGATAAACAAAACTTACAGTTCACCTTATGGTGAAGTGGCTACTGCAGTCGATGAACACATACAAGCAACTTTAAACAATGAAAGTTACAGATGCGTTATAAACTGTGAGGACAAATATGGGATATCTCATAGACTTTTTATGTAGTAGAGGCATGCTGCAGCTATATTAGTAGTATAGTTGTAGTAGGAATGGGTCGGCTTGACCGGGAAGGACCACTCTCTCACAATATACCAACGTAAAATAGCAGCTTAACGCTGCTGTGTTTCGTATAGTGAGTGTAGAGAACCGGAGACCCCTTTTACTGAAAACGAGGTATTTCATCTTAGTCCTCACGGGTGACAACGCATCTGCATCTTGATTCGTAATCGAGGATAGATGTAAATGTCTATGGGCCACAGCAACGATATACCATCAGGTGGACTGTGTGTTAGTTTATCACCCTATTCCTATATAAAAAAGCCTGTAAGATACGGGCCCTCTATACTCTTTAGGTCCAAACACAACACACAGTTCGTAATGGCACTGACATTTGGTGATGGAAATAGGTAAGATCGGTCTCATGTTGGTTTGGGACTTATAGGTCCCATATTTATGAGTGTTTGTAATAAAAAAGAATATATCCACTGTGTTATTTGTCTATCATTTCGTAATAGGTGACTGAAGGGAACATAGTATTTGTGATTGTATATGCATATTTTTTACCTGTCACTGAACCTTAAGTCCCCTGAAGTCAAATTTTAACCCCGCGTTTTATTTGGGTAAGTAAGTATTTTCTTACTTCAGTCTATTTTGGCTGCAGCATGAACGGGTCGACTCGACCAAGAAAGAGTATCTTGAGTAGCGTTCGCTCTAGTTTTATAAGAAACTCACTGTCTTACGCTTTCCGCTGATACCTTAACCCAAGACCTTGGCTGCAGGAGCCATTTACCATCAGGTGGATTGTGAGATTTATTACTAATTTATTTAAAAAAGCAAAGTTCTTAAGTTAAGCCTTTCTTCTTCAATTTAAAAAATAAAAGTAGGCTGAATTTCAGTCAAACACGTGAAATACTCTGAGATAAAAATCAGTCAGAGTGGTGCAGAGGTGATTCCACAATTACGCGGAATACTCTCACATAAAAATCAGTCAGACAGGTGCAGAGGTGATTCCATAGATGTGTAGCGGGTGGAAGGAAAAGGGGAGATCTCCCGCCGGGCAAGGTGTTCTGCCCGGGGAGCGGCCAGCGCTCCGATTGGTAGTTCGGAGCTATTCTATATATGCTGCTTTAATTTCGGAACTTTGATAGCGCGATTTAGGCTTCGATGTGTTTCGCTTGTGGCGCGACGACAGCGCCGCCACATCACCCCCCTGCTCAGACTGGAGGTCGATAGTGCAGTCCGATTGCCGGTGCGTCCTTAATGCCGGTGGGGAATGCATGCTGTGTGCGTAAGGGCAAGTGACGCCGGTGCGAACGATATGCCGGTGTGTAATGCATGCCGTACTACGCACTTGCAAGTGATGCCGGTGAGAACGATGAGCCGGAGCAAGTGCCAGGGATTGCCTTGTAGTCTGCGGTGAGTCGAGAAGAAGGCAAGTAATCTGCGAGAGTGCCGTGAAGCAGAGGCGAGCAGTAAGGCTCAGAGCCGTGCCGAACACTGTAGCGCAGAGAGTAGCTTGAAGGAACAGGAAGCATTATTATTCCAGTGCTGCAATGAACCTTTCTAAAGCTAGATGGCCTGCAGAATGTGAAGACTGCAGACAATATCAGCTCGGGAGCGAATGAATGGGGTACTTAAGGATGATGATGAAGGTTTGAAGTTGTAGTTTCCGAAGGTTGTTGGTTGCGTGTTCAGATCACGTCGGGGTCACCACTGTGGCGGGGCGATGAACCTTTGTTAAGCTACACCACAGATGTTCCATTTTTATGATTTGGCACTGGACATTAAATAGCGTTTCAAAATAACACTTGCCACTACCGCTACATATTATCAAAAGTCCACTGTTGAACATAGACCTCCCCCTTAGCTTGCCTTATGGAGGGATTTGCCATCGCTGCAACACAGTTTTGTGTTACTATTACTAGTTTTTATAAAGAATATTCTGCTAACATTTTCTGGTTTGTTTATAAAGCCTAGTGGATATTCTTACATTGCTTATAGTATAGAACTATCAATATAGAATATCGATATATATCGTATTTCAGCTTTATTGCTTGCCAATGCCTCTCAGAGTCTATTCAACTTGAGTGGCTATTAGGTCTAGTATGAGAAGTCTTCTCACAGGGTTGGAGCCTGTTTTTTTTATTGATTTAACATTAAATTAAGCGCATTATAATTAAATCGTTCTTAATGATCTTTTATATTAAGAATTGTATTGCAAGCTCTCCTAGTGTACTGTAAAACCCTTTTAATTATAAATTGAAGAGGCATCGTACTCTGTACTCTTATTGAGACATGTTTCTCAAGTTTTTATATCTTATTTCGTGAAATGAAATATTTCAGAATACCAAATGGTGATATAAATATAGTGTAATTCATTATTATCATCATCATTATCATCATCATTACGAGTATCGACGAGTAACGAGTTGCGAGTCGAGGCGCCCGGCTCGCAATCGTGGACACGCAAAATGACCAGCACGTGTCATATTATTCCTTTCAAGGGAAGTCCATCAAGTGGTGGAAGAAGATGTTACTGTCCAGCATGTGATATTCCACTCTGCTACTATCCTTGCTTTGAAAAATATTATACAAAAAAAAGATTTCACGGTGTAGGATTGAAAAAAAAAGCAACGTAATCGTGGCCTTATATTTATGTGTTTTTTTTTTTTGTAGAAAATGGGTATTATTGTTTTGGTTTTTTAAATAAAATAAAAGTACATTAATATGTTTTAATTTTTATTATGATGATAAATTAGTTATACTAGCATATACGAAAAGAAGCAAATGAATTACTTTTTTAATTCTTTTTAAATAAAACTTACAAAAATGCCGTAAATGGCCGGCGTACAGGCAACAGGGGAATGCGCATTACAAAACGCTTGGCTGTCAAAGTGTTGATACAGATTATTTGGACCATGTCGGTGAATCCGGTTCTACTACGGATATTTTGGTTATGGTTACATTATTTTAATTGTGAAAAGAAACTCCGAGCGTAGTCCTTAGTTCGCTGAACGGCCTTAAGCTTTCTCATACGGCCAGCAGTGAAGGACCACGTCTCAGTTCGGTTCGGACGGAAATTTTTAGTATTATAAGTTTGTAACAGCCACTACCAGTCACGCATAGATGATTGCAATACCAGATATCTTACGTCTTATACTACCACCGCCATCCAAAATCCTACACGACTACCACTACTCCATTTTTAATTTTGTTCTTGAAACAAATGCTTGCCTTCATTTCTTAATTCATCATTATCCGTAAATAGAGGATTATGATGTACGAGGACTTGAGCCTTGTACATCGTAGTCTTTTCTTTGCTTTTCACACACGATTCCACAGACATGGTAGATCTATATCTATGCTCCATACCCTCACTCTCATAGTAGGGAATGAAATCATAGGGGGAATATTTGCCATAGATGCCACTCTTGGCATACGCGTTGGCAATTACAGTTTTTATAAATTTGTTATGAGAAAGACGCTGCTGTCGATCTCCTGGTTTGTTT